TTCAAATGGTTATTTGTCTGTTAAGTAATTTTTCTTGTTTAAAAAAATTCAAAGTAAATACAATTTTATATTCAATTTAGATTAGATTCATATAATTTTTTTGAAAATCGGCGATCCCATCACCATGATTTCTCCTTGTAAGTTAGAAACTGACTATTATTGTTGATAATATAGAAATATATTCTAACTATAATAAAAAAACTTTTTAGGATTTTTAGTTTCACAGGACAATAATAAGATATAATTGCGCTGATAAAACTAAAAAAATTTTAACTCGATAGGCCTGCAAATAATAGCAACAAGGTTTTTTTTACTGTCCTTGACTTACTTAGCTTAATTGAATTAGGTTAATTAAAATTGATACTAATTAGAGAAAATGGCTGTTTACTTATTAAAGATTTAGGAATATGTATATATAATACATAAGTATTATATAACAAGATACCAATATCATCCAAAGATGTAACTAAAGGGAGAAAAGAGGATGGCTTGTGTCTCTTAAGTTACCTCAGTTGGCCAACAAGATATATATTTATAATATTTAAAAAATTATATTGATAATATATTCAACAAATATTTCAAGTTAAATATTCTATATTTATTTTAATTAATATATTTTCATAATATTTATAAGCAAATATTTAAAAAGATATTTTTTAAGCACATTGTAGAAATATTTTCGGTGTAATATACTGTATTTATTCTCTTTAATATATTATCAAAATATACATAAACAAATATTTAAAAAATTATATTGTGAGCATATTATGAAAATATTTCAATAGAATATATTTTTTATTATGTTTAAGAGATATTGTCACAATATTTTATTCAAAATATTTTAAAAAGTATTTTGTAAGAATATTTTGACAATATTAATATATTGAAATTGCTATGTGGGTAGATATTATTCTAGAATTATGTATATTAGGTTAGAATATATTTGTAAGCCTATGTGTATTGAGTAGCTAGTCTTTGAGCTTAATGTCTTTGCTTTAACAAGCATCGTGCCGGCCGACAGCGCAAAGAAACTTACAAATTTTTTTTTTAGTGTTTAATTTTTGTCTTGGTGATTATTGAGCCGCATCCTTTCAAGGTGCTTTATTTTAGCGCCGGGACACATTGGGCTACCACAATTCCGCCTTGATAAATTTTTTATATAGATATAAATATTTGTGAATCTTGTTTTGACCAGGCCAGAGGAAAATTTTAGAAATGTTGGTGTCGATCTCTCAATAAAATATACTATCTCAAAAAAAAAAAATTATTCAACAGACATAAAAAAAATGAACAAGTACAGATTATAAACTATATTTATAATAAAATATAGAGTGTTTAAAATCGTTTACAAGTAAGATAAGTCGAAGACTTTCTGTAATTAAATCATATCATTTAAAATCTTGAATCGTTTTTGTAAGTAATTATATGAATTATATAACGTATAATGTAAATAGTATACGTAGTGCATTTAATACCAAAATAAACGTTGGATTACTTGAAATATTATTGCATTACATAGGGCGTAAGGTAAGTTCAATTTAACCTATGCTTTCGAACCTCCAACAATCTATTGCGTAATAAACCATTAATAATTAATAAGAGAAACAATTAATGATGAAAATTATTTAAATAAAATTAAAGACTTTAAACCTACAAAAATCTTATAATTAATAATAACATAAATATGGCAAAAAGTTTTTTTAAACGCATTACCAAATAAACTTACTGTTTACGTGTAATAAAAATTCTGTCTAATGAATGCTTATGTTAATGAATACTAAACATATTAAAGTTTTTTATTGTTATACACAACATCAAATTATAATATTTACACCTAAATCCAAAATTTATCAAGTTTTTGATTAATATTAATCAAAGAAAAATGATAAGTATTTGTAAAAATGAAACTTAGATTATTTAACTAATATATTCTATTTTTTATGGATTTAGTCTGAAAAAATTCAATAAAGGTATTTATTATTATTCAAGTTATAAGTCAAATTTCAATATACTGTGATGATGTATGTTGTCTTCATTACTCAAATTCAAGGGCACTTGAAGAATTTAACATTAATAAGGACAAAATTTATTTTAAGAACAATTTAGCATATTGTTAATTTAAAAAATTTTTTTATGCTTATTAATCTTTTTTAAAAAATTTAGTGTACCAAAACCACTTGGTCTAATCATATTCGATAAATACCATTTTTAAAGCCTAATACCATCATTCTGATAAAAACATAAAAAAAGCAAACATAAGTTCAGATACCTGTGTTTTTAAAAGGAAAAAATATATTGTGTTTTTATTTTGTGAATAATTTTGTAGGTTATGATAAACGGATCACTCTATATAATATTTAGAGTTACTTACCTTCCAAATAAAATGCGAAGAACACCAAAATAAAAAATGTTGATAAAATATGTAATTTCTGAAACGAATTTTCGATTTTTAAAACAATATCAATAATTATGAAAATCAGATTAATCTCTATTTCCGCCAAACTAAAAATCTTCAAACATAATTTATAGTTATAAATTATTAAAGAGATACTTTAATTACTTTAGTAGAATTGATAATTTTTTAATAATTATATTAGAAGTAATTATTTGTAATTTTACTATTAATTATCCATCTATTAATTAAATATTAAGATATGTAAAAAAAAGTTACTTACCATTGTTGTTTATAATGTCAAAAAATTTATTATAAGATTTAATAAAAAAATTTTTAAAACAGTTATTATAAAGACTTGAAGTAAAATATTATACGTATTGGCAAATAAGAAATAATTCTAATAATAAACAAAATAAATAAAGCATGTTTGCAAAAAAAAAAAAAAATATGAAATATTGGAACACATTATAACATGATTTTTTGTCATAAAATGACATTTGAATTTTGAGCATTGTAAAAATCACATAGATTATATTAGGTTTTATTTTATTACTAGTAAATAACAAATTGCAAATACATCTTTTAATAATAAAGTATATTAAAGTTTTATGAACACGTAATATACCGAAAAATTATATTAAATTATACAATATCAATAATTAAATTAATTTATATACTTTGTTGAGCTGCTGTGTACATTTATTAAGTTTGAGCTTGTAACGTGATAAAAAGTTAACCCCTTTTTTTTTATTTTGTAAATATTTTACTCTAGTTGAATCAAATGCGTATTGCGACGACGTTTAAGAGAGTGCTCAGGTACTTTTCTGCAGTGTATTAAAACATGTCTCGGGCGTTCTCAGATTCCGGAGGATCGTGTAGTCGTAGAGACATGAACAGTATATCAAATGAAACATGACAAAATTATCTACATATGTACATGGAAGATTTTTGATATACAATTTTTGGAAAAATTTTTTACTATAAGCCGTTTGGTTTCACTAGATATTTGATCATCAAAAAATGCCATTGAAGCATTTTCTGGTGAGAGGTACTACTAAATGATTACTAAACTCCTACTGCACTTATATCTTTGTCGATTTTCTTATACTTATAAAAATTTTGCATGCACTCTAAATCTAAACGCGGAGCTTTAAATGCATTAAAAATATACAAATATCACATACGCCAACTTGTTCGCTATCAGTTAGTTCAAATGAATCTCGAAAAAAAAAATTTTAAACAATAAATTGCTTTTGCCATCCATCTAGCATGATGATAAGTGCCAGGTGATCTAATTAAACTATTTGGATACAGATTACCACCGAGAAAAACTAATGCGAAATTTAAAAATTCTCTATAGTCTTCTCTTGGCTAATAAGTATTTATTTATTTCATACATAATGAAATTATTTCTATTTCAGAGCTGATACGATCACATTTTCATGTGCCCATATCTCTGTCTCCCATAACATCATTGTACCGTTTAATAGACATATATATATATATATATACATATAATTAACACAGTGACATACAACAATACTAACNATATATATATAATTAACACAGTGACATACAACAATACTAACAGGAGGGCGGACTGCACACATAAACACTTTTTGCAATTCACGGCCAATATGCCATAATGAGATATCCCTATCGACAGTTGACCTTTTACCATCTTCGCGATCACTACTTGTCTAATAATTAACTTAATTTGCTACCCCGTATATTATAGTGTGTGTGTCGCCGTCAGCTCCCTGTTGGATTATATCATCTCTAGGTGTCCAGCAGGTTGTATTATCTATTTAATATTTCAATTGTTTAATAAATATTTATTTATATCGTAGTTAACCTAAAGTGTTATATATATATATTGTAGTGCGACCCTTGGTAGTTCCTCTAAGGGAATATAAATTAAATAGGAAACTTCAGTACCTAAGGTAGATATAGCCTAGCCAGCTATCCCCCGTTGGTCCCTTAGAATACTGTCGACGGGCACTTAGGCTAAACCCATAAATAGCGACGTAACAAAGCCATTTAATTGTGTTTTAACAACAATATCGTCTAAGCCTGATTTTATAAATCAATCTTTAATTTTGGGCCAACTCTGTTGAAATTTTTTAAATAATGATATTTTTCGCCAACTAGATAATTTTTTTTTTCAAATACACAATTCACAAATACATGGTGCCTATATGGTAGATATAAAAGATCTGTCTCTAGATATTGTGTCAAAAATGACACAAGCGCCTTGTAACTTTCCCATATTAGAGGCTGTTGTGTCATTTTTGAACAATATCTAGAGACAGATCTTTTATATCTACCATGTACACTAAATTTTATTTCCAATATCCCATTCTTTTAACAAATTATAATTTGCTAGTGCTTGTTCTTTGCCTATACCCGATTTAATAAATGAAACGCCAAGCAATTACTCATTTCCATCAAAATTTTTGGCAACTGGAAGTCTCTCAATATTTGTTTTACTAGTTAATGATGGTAATAATTTACCATCGAAATGAACAATAACAGATGTAACATTTTTTCTTAAAACTTTTCAAATATTTTTTTAGCATGTTTGGTTCTTAAAAGTTCACGACATTGGTGTATTGACAATGTTGCTATGGCATAACTATCACTAACCTTGCACTTTTCAAAAGCTTCTTTTTGAGCAGAATGGTCCAGGTTTGTCCTCATCAAGTATATCTGACATAGAATAATCAAATCTAATATTGTATTCTTTGTTACTTTCTTCTTGTGTACTACTAATACTAGAGTCTAATAAGGTAAGCTCATGTAAAATAATTCATCAAATATTTCACTTTATTATTGTAATAATGATTTGATATATTACATATCAGATATATGTTTGGTATCTTTATGTTATTAGGTCACGATTCCAGTTACGTTTAAGTCTTCTTGTGGGATTGTCAGGGAAGTTAGTAGTGCACATACGTTTTATTGTGGGATTTGTATTGAAATTCAGTTTTGAGTGAAATCGAGTGTAGTGTAGTTTGGTAAGTTCGTTAACTGTGTTATTATGTAAGTCTTTATGTAGGTTATTGTTAGTTATGTACCAAGGGGCATTAGTTATCATCCGAAGCGAGATATTCTGGAAAGTATGAATTGGGCGTATATTTGAAGGCTTTGCCAGCCCCCAGAATTGAATGCCATAAGACCAAATTGGTCAACCTGAATATCATTAAACAAATATTGTTATTCATGAGTAATATTATTTCATTTGTCAGCTATTTTGGTTAAATAATACCCGTTGACATTCAAGTGCACGTTCGTTCTACTGTTATTGTAATTGGGCCTATATTATATTTTCGTCTAAGTATAACTATAGTATAATTAAAACTTATCTTCTACACGCAAATAGCTGCCGTAGTTAATAACCAGCTATTTTTATGTTAAAATTTTCAATTTTATTTTTTCAACTTTAAATTACTATAACTTTTTGAAAAATGTATGGATCAATACAATGAAAAACTTTTTTATGATTATTTCTTTCATTTAACATACTTTTTTATTAAATTTTCCTTTATACAGAGGAGAGTAGGGTAATATTGGGGATTCTAGGCCCTCTCCGCTTCACCCACCCACCCTACCACCGTGGTTATGGGAAGAGGGGTGGAGGGGGAGTAAATCCAACGTAAACTAACATAATACAATGGGAGGGGGAACGATGATGTAACCCAACGTAAACTAACCTAAGAAGAACCTCCTCTGACAAGTCTTAGGGTGGGGGAAGTAAATCCAACGTAAACTAACCTAAATCAGGTGAGGAACCTCTCTTCCTCCACCATGTCTTATGAGAGAGGGGTAATGAAACTAAAGGTACACAAACCTATAGGTGGGAGGGGGGGGAATGAAACACAACGTAAACTAACACAAGTTGTCACGCGCCTAAATTATGCTCGTCCATATATACATAATATCGGTTTTTTGGGGAAAAAAAAAAAAATGCATTTTCCAGGTAAGCTATACGGTTACGGTGAAAAGTACAATTTTTAAACGTCGAATCCGCTATTTTGATATGCCACATGCATATATTTAGATAAAGTCCATACGTAAAATGTTAATTTTACCTAATTTGTGAAAAAAAAAAAATTAGTTCGAAACATTGTGTGCCAGATGGCTGTATTGATGATTACACTATAGCACTTGAGATTAATACACCAGATGGCCCAACGCGGCGGCGACGGCGTCGGCGATGTCGCCGTCAATTAGATTAATTGTTATTATACGAGTTAATAAGCTTGACCGTTATTCGTATAGTGAATAATAAATCAATATTTTTTTTGTAGACAATATATACTAATGACGACTTTTCAAGTTTTCTTATAGCAAAACACATTCTTAAATAAACACTACCGCCGCCGCCGCCGACGACGACGTAATCACTGGAACATATATAATATAATGTTTATAATATTATTATAATCTGTATTATACTTATCGATATATGTCTTACATATATATTTTGTCTGAATTATTACTGGTATCCCTCCCATTGTTATAAATTATTACCGTATTTAACAACTGTAATAAATTATTTTTAATAAAATAATAGCTTCGACTGGAAGGATTGCATTCTTCATCCGTCAACGCATTAGAGACGGCAGACGGTCATAATTTTTACAAAGGCATCTGTTTTAAATCCTAAAGACATATATGTGTAAACAATTCACTTTAATTTTCACGCTATTTTAAATAACTATATTTTACTATAATAATTAAAACGTATATAAATTAGACATGCAGACGTATCAAATATACGATGGAAAACTGAATTTTTTGTCTTTGCTTAATACTACTATATGCATGGGTATGAATGACGTAGGTGGCCAGTGTTCATTATAATCATTTATCTAGTAATATTTTAATATCTTAGTCGTATACACCTCATCCGTTATCACGAATTAATTATCTAAAAGATATTTGGANCACTGATGCAGCGGATAATACAGTAACAATCCGTATTTATAAAGACATCAATAATGATTATATTCACTCTTTGACTAAGCGTTATTAGCGGCTCACTAACGTATTGCTTAAAAATATTTAGTTAAACGTATACAAGTACTAGTATTTATTTATTTATTTTTTTTTTAATTTAAAATTGAATAACAATGGCTGATGTACATTTTACTGGTGCTGCACAAGGTAAGTTTTTTTGATTGTATATTTCGATATTTTCGATGCACAAATTGTTTTTACACATTTTTTCACAGCCACCTCTTCCACGACTGTTCCAAACCACCATTCGGTTAAACGTAGGGCTAACAACAGTAGGGTAAAATCGAAAAGGTTGCGTATACAATTGCCGGACGCGAAAAATTTCATCGAGATTGATTCCGCATTGAAGCGAGGAGCCGTTTGGTTTTATCGGAAAAACGTGGAAAATTTCGCGAGCTATCGAGATTTTCTGCGCGCCGTTAAACCCGAGCTGGTTGCCAAACTCGGTGAAATCACAGCTGTTCAGCCTATTAAATATAATCTCAAATTGGAGGCCTCTTACCATATACCGCGATCAGAAGCACCGCCCGAGGACCGTGCCTTCAAGACACGGGCTAGGGCGTTGTTGTCCGACACGGATATTGTAGGTGCGGTCAATGACGATTTCGAGATTATGCTCGCTGAGGAAGATGTGTACTCGGGTAGGGGTAGCGGATTCACGCTAGCGCATATCGACGGTCTCATGCTCAGTGTGTACAAGTATACGCCCCTCACCGGCTCATCATATATTCCGATCCCACCTGAAATTTTACATAGAAAGGCAATCATCAATCCGCAAAACATCGATCAGTCCTGTTTCAAGTGGGCCATTTTGGCCCGACACGTTGGGGTTAATAATAATACGCGTGTTAATCAAAAATATTTTAACGAGGAACACAGGTATGATTTCACGGGGTTGACGTTCCCCACACCTGTGTCCCAAATTAAAATATTTGAGCGACGAAACCCTAACGTGTCTG